ACGCATTCCTGTCAAAATTCATTAACTGTAACTTTCGAAAAATTCTGATCAAGCTACTACTGAACATATCTCCGCAGAACTGCAAATATCTGTAGTGAGTATCAAATTTCAAAGCAGCAAAATGACTCAGTACATGGAAAAGCGAATCAGTGACGCATCAGCATTCGAATCTCGACAAGCTGGACAGCGAGGGGATGGAAAAACGTAAAATTAAATAGCTTCATTCTTGAGTCATTTTTCAGCGAGATTTCCACGATCAGGAACTTGTCGAAGATACAGACTGCTTTACTGATCATTCGGAACGTTCCATGAGAATTAGGATGAAGTGAAATGAGGCAATGAGGCAAAACTGTAAAAAGAGTGCAAATTGTCACCATGGATTCCTTTCCCATTGCCCTTAACTATCCCTTTTTTTACATTATTCTCGTCAAATCTCCGCGCTATCATTAGAGTTGTCGCAAACATTTGCTGAAAATAGTTAAACTGAACACAAGTTCCTGAAAGCACTCACTGGAAAACACAGACATTTGGAAATAACAACAGTTTCAATCTACAAAAATGCACTTCACATAAGTGCAAAAAAATGCGCAAAATCGACAATTCGTTCGCCTAAGAGTAGTCAATTTCAGCTGGTAGGGACTAAAACACATTTGATTTAACAGAACATAGTTCTGGTACTGCCTTAAAAATGAGACAACAAGCTGCAACTGCTGAGACTAAAACTGGTGTGAAACAGAAGTGGAATAACACCGGAAGGTGGGAGGAGAAGGCATATGGTAGTAGAACGCAGTGATTTGATTGGAGACAAAACTGCGCACACAAAATACCACTTTCAATCGGACCGCTTGGAGGAGATAGGGGACAAATGGGGAGGTACGGCTATAGCTCCGTCCTGGTGTCCACTATGGTCGGATTATGTATCAAATTTGCACCACATACAATAACTCGCCGTCGTCAGCGCGCTCATGCATTACCGAATGCATTTCAGTCTATCGATGGCACTGTACTTGGAGCTTTGCTCATTCAATATTGCCGATTTATTACATCGACTCACCACCACAGCGAACGTACGTGGCGTTGGCCAGCAACCTACTCGGATAGATCAAGGTCGCGCGTGAGCCCTAGTGTCGGGTGTCTCAGATACAGCTACACAGATGGAGCGCAGTGATTCCAGCCTTAGGCTACCTGCCTGCAAATACTCATCGGCTTTTAAATCGCGTAACAGTACCGAATTTCCGAACTTCATCCAGCTAGCTTTTTTTTCCGTACGCCGAAGACGACACACCATCCAAACAAGAGCCTTCGCTATTCGGCACCGCTCAATACTAGCAAGCTGGTGATATATGTACGGTACAAGTGAAGAGGCTTCGGCGTTCTACCGCACTCGGTTGATTAGTTTTGCATTTCAAATGAACTAATCTCGGAAAGCAGGAAGCCCTTCAGTGCTGAATTTTATGTTCTCAAAAGCAAGCAGTCTATGCCTTTAAAGTTTCAGTTTAGGCTCTCTTTGTACGTCACAAATTCAAAACTTAAACTGAGCAGTGGAATTCATAGCTGTATATCAAGTTTCGGAAAAAGTAATTAAGCATCTGAATCAATGAAGCAAAGTTTCAAATGTTCAATGAATATAATTTCAAGGAGCAAAATTTTTGAATCAGTAAATGTAATCTTAAGAACATAAAGCCCTCCTCCAAAAAATCTACCTGCCTTTTACTGCCAATACAGCGGCGGAGCACTAGTCCATTGTTTAGAGACATGAGTTATTACAAGTACAAAAGAGGTCCTGTCCTGTTTTTTGTAAAGCATTGAAACGGAAAATGCGAACTGGAGATACGGGTGCCAGGTGGAGAGGAACAGATAGCAGAACGGAAGTTGTACATTCCGGAGAACGCGGACAGCAGGTCATAATTTGGTGGGCTTGTCCTTGGAGCTCCATTGTGCTCGCACAAAGGTGCCTATACTATACTGCACCAAATTTATAATTATTCCGTCAAACACTTATAAGACCCAGCAAATCAATCATCGCAATTCAGCTAAAAACAATGGTGTTGATCATGTGGCCGGTGTGGCTGTAGCTGATTTTTTTGCTGCTGCTGTTGGCGTCATTGTTGTTGTTGCTTTCAGTTTTACTGGACTGATTTTGCTTTTTTATACATTTTTGCTGTGCAGCGATATAGCGCTACTACAGCCAGAAAAAAACGCATATTGTCGAGAGGTTGTCTGTGTGTGTGTTCGGAAGCGAGTGCATTTTGCCAGCCACTTTCATCTCAGCAAGCAGGAAACCTGGGAGATTGAAATTTTGGGTATGTTCATGCCCGTGTGTCACTCTCTCGTTTTAAGATCTTACCCACGCGTGCCTAGACCCCAAGTACGGACCCCCGGGGGAAAATATGCAAATTTCTTTGGCGAGAAACGACTTTGCGAACCAGGCAACGCACAAAGCTGAAACTTTACAGAGATATTCTCTGCGCACGTACAAGCCAAAGATTCTAAATTCAGCTGTCGCGTACGCTTGTGCAGCGTGTTCGATCACATCAAAGTTTGCAACTTCGTACCGTGCTAACTTGCGGAAAACAGTGGCTGAAATTTTTTCAGCATGTTTGTCGCCCATATGCGAAATCGCACGCCTGAAATGACTAACAATTTGCACTTGCGCCACGACTTAGGGCATTTCGAAGATATTTGTAGTGAGGTGGATATTTTGCTTATCAGATAAGCTGCAAGGCTGAAAATTCGCTAAGGTATTCTACTTTCAAGTGCGGTCTTAACTCTGCTTGGAGATAAAATCCCCTGCAGGTGAGCTTAAGAAATACTCAACTTTGCCGAAAAGTCAGAAACGAGTGCGTTTTGCAGCGAACGACTGTCCTCACCCAAATATGTGAATGAACATTCAGTACATTTGCATACTTGAACTTTTTGACAAACGACCGCTTGAGCAACATTCCCACTTCTCAGTGAACTGAAAATTTGCATTTTTTATTTTTTTCAAAAAGCGAGTATTTACCGAAGAAACGACCGGGCTTCATGAAAAAACTGATAATCATGTACCTGGATGCCCGTGCGGCTCAATAATGCACCACATTCATCCCAACCGACGCCCTTCCTCCTGCATGATCACACGGGGCCAGCCTGCTGCGCTCCAGCCTGGTTGAACATTGCTTTTTTAAAAGTTGACTAAATTTCCTACTAGAATTTGCACCTCTGCCGGTGACTTTTGTCCTTAGCCATTTTCCACCATGTTTCTGCAGAAAGCCTGACCGACAAAACTTTGCACTCTTGGAAGCAATTTTCGTAACTTTACGCGTTTTTGCATTATTAATGGTTCATTATCAAACTGCAGCGAAATCCTTTTTACATGCGTGTGGCCGCATGAACTTCAGAATCATGCGAGCCACGAAGCTAAAATTTTACGAACGGACTCCGACCGAGTGTGAGGCTACGGCAGTACTGAAATCAACCTATACATCTCTATGTGGCCTGTTCTCAGGCATCTGGTTAAAATCCGTATTAATCCTGTAACTTGGGAATAAACAAAGCCACAATTCGAAGTTTTGACAGCTGAGTTCACCATGCATTCTCGGACAAGCAAATAATGGAGGGAAGTGATTTCGGAAAAGCGCAGATGTTAAAATGGAGCTAGCAGTGACGTACTTCGGCACTGATTTTTCCCACTGACAGAGATGCATGGAGATGTGAACTGGTCATTTTGCGTCCGAAACAATCCTATTTCTATCAAGCGGTGCAAAAAGAAACCACAAATTTTATTTGCTTGTTTCATTATCAGCCCAGCTACACAGAAACACGCTGGAAAAAACCGGGGAAAAGAGAAAGGAAAATAGAAAGAAAAGTTAAAAAACTACAAACAGCTTCGTTAATTGCAACAGAACTAACAAACTCTATGGTGTGGTATTTGAGGAGTTAAGGACACCAGATAAAACAATTTTTAAAAATCAATTGACTGAAATACTGAAGAAAAACTGCGACTTCGCTTTCAAAAGCAGACTTTTGTGTACAAAACTAAAACGACATGAAGTCAAAGTCTCTCAGTTACAACTCAGTAACGCTTCTGCACAACGTTCACCTCTTAGCGATTTCAAAGATAATATCGATAACATTTCATCCAGAAAATGGAAACCCGTCTACTTGAATCAGTCATGAGCTGCTTCCGAGACAGCACATTCGTGAAGACAGGAGCAAAATTTACTTAAGCGTAACAGGACTAATTAAGTACCCAATGGCAAGGTGATCAGAAGCTGAACAACACCGGGAGGACAATAGCATCGCTCGGAAACGTCTATTGGTTGACATAGAGAGAAAGAGCGTTAATAAGAAACAAAACAGCAAAATGGATATGGCTCCTTTCACTGGAATACTCGATTCGTTGCGCACTGCCCGAACATCGTCTCCGATGAGAACACTTACACTAAAATTGTCCTGCGCATGAAAACTTTGTGAGCAGCAAACAAGGCGATTTTACATCAGCAAGTAAAAATTTGATTTTGTTCAGTTTCCTAAAGCATTAACCGATCATTCAGCGGCAGTCATTTCAGGAACAATAAAAATCAGTAACTCGAAACTTTATGTAGAATTTCTTACGTCACCACCACGCTACTGTGTTTCGCCCCGTCAACCACTGTTGACCAGAATTTTTCTGTCTGTTAAGGATCGGTTCCTTGTACTAATGCACAACTCTGGGCCTTTGCTTTCTTTTGCGGAGAATTCTTCTCAAAACTTTCGACTGTACCAGTCTCGTTACTTCGACATAGATATCGGTTTTACCAAGATCACCATGAACACCTGGACTTCCAGTCCAGATGTTAGTGAAACAGGCCCGGGTCCCGGACCAGCTATCCCAGGCCTTACCTCCACAGCCTGAACTAATGCTGCAATGGCCTCGTATATCGGAGCGAAAGCAGCGTAAATGACACTGGGGCAAAGAAGAAAAATCCGAAAAATCCTTCCCAGTCAGAAATCTCGCAAAATGTGAAAATATGACTTGCTCATTTGCTATAATACACTCGATAATACAACGTTTTGGAACGCCAGAGCGAATACGAGTTGTCAAACTTCAATAGATATACGCCTCGTCCAGGATACACATGGCTACCAGCATATACCTAAATTATACTAGATATTTTTGGAAAATAACAAACTACCTCCTTTGTTACTGGCATAAACTGCAAGCACAATAACCAAATCCACAATGTACCATATCACACACTTTTAACTCGAAAACAAGAGAAGCTAAGAAACTGAAATTTCTGGAGTACGTGCCAACAACATGTGCAACCCACCTGTTTTAACACTGCCGCTCAATTATGCCTAGGTCTCAAAGTGTGGACGCCGAAAAAAAACATGCAAATTTTTTGGGGGGAAAAGGATTTCGGGGACCAGACAAGACAGGGAGCTGAAATCTCATAGGCCAAAAAAAATTTTTTCTTATTTGAGCTAAAAATTTCTAATTCAGCCCTAACGTACACCTACATGACATGTACGGACATGTTAAAGTTGAAACTGTGAAGTCGCTGGCTCAAGAACCTGGCTGTCTAGCTTTACGAGAGTATCTGCTTTCCACTCCCAGGCATGTAGGCCAGAACCAGCTTTGGTGCATGCCTGTGTTGTGCATTCGGACACGTCAAAGAAATTGTGCCAAAAAGTGATTTGGCCAACTAATCAAGCTAGATAGCTGAATTTTACGAGGATATTCTACGCTAATGTGCAACCCAAATATTCCTGATTCAGTTTTAAGACATGCATAGGTTCCGCGTGAGCACAAATAAATGTTTAGTTTGGGACGCAGTTGGCACCCAATTAACTCTGTAACCAAACTGATCAGGAGGCAGTATTTTGTGAGGATGTTTTGCCGTTTATGTGCGGGCCACCAACCGTAAGATGGATTTCCACCTAGGTAGCGACAACGCATGCCGATGTAGTCATGTGTTTTTGCACAATTCCTTCCTGTAGAAAGATCGCCTTTACTACTGAGTATGTCTGTGACGTTACAATTTGAACATCTGATGCGTTTTCTGACTTATCTGCATAATCTCGCATTTCCTGACTTACCCGCACCTGTGAAGATAAAACTGAAAGCAAACTTCTTCATGGCAATCGCGCCGATATACCGGAACAATTTCATCCACGTGTGGTTTATTCGGGTCCACGTGCTTTTCATTTGCTGGGCTTCCGCTTTCAACATCACCAGCATCGCTGGCCCTTAATTCTGCCTGCATCAGTTCTTCGTCTGCCTCTTCATCTGATGATTCCGATATGTGCACCGATACCTCAAATATTACAGTGACAACAATGACTGATATAGCAAAACCAGGCCGTGTAAAATGAAAATAAGCCAATTCGTTGGCTGCTAGTGAAATCATGTCTTTTGCTGGGCGACCGCCGCTGCCTACACACAAACTGCGTCAGCTTGCAAAAATAAGATAACAACATATTGCGATTTCAAAGCCTTAATACCAAAGGAGCCTACACAAGCGAACAATCGAAAAAGTGCCATTCAGTATTATGAAACAGTTTTCGGTTTGAAGAAGACTTTTAGGAGAAAAGATGCAATAAAAGCGGCAACCTGATTTGTTTCCGATATGGTCCATTCGAAGAAGACACCAAAACCAATATCGTAGTGATCGGTTGCGAACTCCCAAAACAGGCAGCTTCCTTCCTCATGCGTCGGCACACGCACCTCAAAAAAAAAAAAAAAAAAATTAACGCAGCAATCTGCTTGTTCATGCATGATGTGCAGTCACTCACAGCCAATAAAAATGAGAGCGAGAAAGGCTCGAGTTTTTTTTTTTTTAATTTAAAAAAACAGGTGCCTCCGCTAGCCACTCTCATCGTCCGAATGCTTTCTAAATTAGCAGCCTTAAAATCATCGTTTCGGCAAGAATCCGTAAAAACTAGCCCAAAATTAGTCAGTTTTTTGGAAAAAAAATCGTTTCTTTGAGGTCAGTGTTGATAACAATTGTTTTTTTTCCCCTAATAACGAACTGTAAAATTACCGTGACTGTTTCACCGTGTCCGACTTTGATAATACCCTCACCACCCTCTTTCCGGATGGCACTCTTAAATTCCATAATGTCCTGTCGATTCCACATCGATGCAGGTGCAATCGCTGGATTTGCTGCAATTAAAAGGTAACCGTGAGGCAGACTACATGCAAGCAAACATTTATGATAAATTCATGCTAACTACTCTACCGTTACTTTTTTACTTCATCGCAGCAACACAAAGCCAATCCAAGCTCACTGATATTTCAGACACAACAATTTTCAACAATAAAAAAATAACAAGTTAAATTTATATTACTAAAAAAATTCAAAATGTCTTTTATTCACACATATATAATTATGCAACAAAATTTTAAATAAAAGCGGGCCATTTAAAGCCGAGATTAAGCCTCAATCCCTGTAAGTGATCCACACTGTCGTAAAATGGATTTATGAAAATAACTCAGTACTGGGATACTCGTCAAACCAAGTGAAATCTACATATCGCTCGCAAATATTCCAAGCCCATCAAGTCTGTGAAAGTTACTTTCCTTATTAGCGCCAGCAAATCGCTGGTGGTTCCTGTCATTCAAACATGAGCGAACAGGACAGGAAACAGGGCCTTACCAATCTGCCGTATTATCTGTGTCATGCCTGCACCATGACAGTGTTGTTAAATTAGAATTTTTGAAAGCAAAAGAAATCTAAAAGTAAAAAAAGCATAACACAACAAAAATAAAAGCAACAGCGACAAGTGTGGAAAGGCGGACAGCAGACCATGAGGAAGATGAAATTAAAAGCAGCCGACGCAAGTTCATGCCAAGAAGCACACATCCGGACGATAAGGCTCAAGCAAATGTATATCATGCAAAATGATCAGCTGTATTTCGAAGATAACAAATAAAAAGAAAAATGCATCGAGCTTAGTTACCCGCTGCAATTTTACCGCTATGTCGCACAGGACGCGAGGGCAGTTGGGTTAAAAAAAAAATTCATTTCTCTGTTATTATGGTTTATTGCAAAAGCGAAACCACAGCAAAAATTTTGTAAAAATTCAGAAATGCGGAACTTCTGTTAATCACCAGTGAATTCCACTTGCTATTTTGCACTCTATTACTGGGACAACCAAGCCTTCTGTGGTTCAAGCACTCGTTCTGGTGGCAAATCGGGGCTCCATCAACTCTCTTCCTAAAAAATGGACCCACCAATGGACATGCCAGCAGGTAATTGCTGTTGACACTCGTGCTATTTCCGAGTGTTCTTACCTTACATCCAGAGCGAATACTGAAGGGATTCCATTTTCGAGAATTTGACTGCTTCATTTGTTATTGACATAACAACAATTGAATACATATGCATTTTCCCAAATTTATAATTATGGCTCACATTCTGCTATAACACTACCTCAGCAGCTCCATCAAACCGACTGCAGCATTCCAGCCGTATGCTTTAGAAGCTACTTAGCGGCAGTCAGCGCAGAGCAACTCACAGTTGACCAAATTCCTCAAGTATGCAGCAAAAATATTAGATTGGTGCGTGTAGAATGTCGCTGAAAATCACTTTTTATGCGTTTTTTGCAGCAATGCAATGCGAAAAACGCATATTGACGAGAGGTTGTCTG